GAGCCAGGAAAATGTTAGCACTTGTTCTTGATTTTGGACTAGGTGTGATCAACTGGTATTTAGAGACCTCTTCAGTACTTGAGGATATAAGCTGATTTTTCGTTGATTTTAATTATATATTGGTTCCTTTTAGTAGGCATACATTTTCTAAGGATTAATCCTCCTCGGTCTTGTGATGCTACAAACAACAAACTCGTTTATTCTCAAGACTAAGGTTATTTAGCAAATTTTTTTCTCATTTACCTTAATGCACATTTAGAAAAGGCACTCGAAGAACTACTTTGAATCCCTGCATTTGTGTTCATGGTACGAAAGTTTAAACGTCTGAAAGGTGCCTCAAATTGTTCCTCGCTGTAAAAGAATTGCATGTAGTTATTTTTTGGGGCAAGAATAAAAAAACTCCTGTAGGTGCACAAAAAATGTAATTCAAAACAGACAAGTTATTATTTTCTCCAACTATAGCCCGCTGAGGAAAGCCTATTGATTAACGAAACAACCAAAAATTCCTAGAGTGAGATTTCAAAAATCAATTATCAAAGTACACCTGGCTAATGAAGTACTAGAATAACAACAACAGAAAATGGCAGTTAATCCAATCAAATGTAGCCTCCAGCTTCTCACATGCTTGTCTTCCTCCTAAAAACTTAACACGATTAGTGCTCCTTCATTGCCATTTGTACTTATGAAAACTACCTTTTGGCAGCATAAATCTGTCCCTTTAATTTTATTTTTAAAAATTATTTAAGAGGAAAGGAGAATATGGATATGGTAAAGAGTAATACAATCAGCTAGAAAGTGTTTCCAATAAAAAGTTCTTTCTGCTCAGCATCAACACAAAAATTTAATAAAGAATAGGACCATTCCGCAGAGGCAAATACTAAAATTTTACTCTGATATGATACTGTCGTTCTCCTTCTCGCGGTTTATAAGCCATACTTTTCTTCAAACAGGAATACACAAAGTGATCCCATTTTTTTTTAAATCCTGGGAATTCAAATGCAAAGCGCTGAGAAGGAGGTGATTATTCCTGCTGAAATGTGTTTGTGGAATATTGCCTTTCCGGATGTATATAAGACAATACAAATAAGGGGAGAGAGTCTGGGGTGAGACGATAGCGACTGTTATAAGTTACTTTTTCTCTGGAATTTTGAAGATGGCAAAAATACCTGCAGGACAAAGAAATATAGCAAGAGATTTTTATTGCAGTGCTGGGTACCCATTTCCAGCACTGGGTGCACCCTTGAATCATGCAAAGAGCACACTGCTGTTTGAAAACCGTGCTTTTTGTACCCTTTGATATCAGTTGTTGAATATTCATTTTACTGCCTACTTGTTGCCTTAAAAGGTAATTTCTCTGCTTTGGAAGTGGGTGTTATCTTTTGGCTGGTTGTAACATACCTCCCCTGGGCTCGTACAGGGGGGTCTTGCATCATCCCCACATTGCAAGACATGGAGGGTCTCTCTGTGTATCCACATGGCAGAGAGGAATACATTTTTATTCATAATTTGTTCCCTGTTCCCGGTCGTGAAAGATTCCCTGGTGAGAGGTCCAGATAGGACCCTTCACCTTACAGTCTCCACGGTACGTCTATAAGTTAGTAAATATACAGAAATAGTTCTTTTGTTAGTACCCTCTGTTCATTTTAATTTGCTTGGAATAAAATCAGTTCCTCAATTTTTCACAGCGACAGGGAGAACACACAGGTGCTCTCATCGCGTCCTTCACTAGCTTCTCTGGGAAGACTTTGCTCTCAGTGAGGCACTTGTCATCCTGATCAGGTTTTTAATTTTTGTTGGATACAGCACAGATGTGGAGGCAGGTGTGTGTATGCGGGGGTGTGCCCAATGAAACGGTCTCTCTAGTAGGACTGAATTCTTGCTTTACAGCGGGTCACGCAGAGAGGATCGCTGCCTTGATGTGTTCTGCGCTAGGTTGGGCAAAGAAGTGCGGTGCAGTGTGGCCTCTCCTCGCACCCTAGCCCCTCTGATCGACCGCGCTCGCCAGGGTCGTGCCAAACACCGGTAGATGTCGCTATCTCTCTGTCGGACGCGGCCTCCGCGGGCGATGTCTGGGACACCCCGACTTGGTTCGGGTCGCCTGGACTGCATCCCCCTCCTGATCTCGCCAGCGTGCAAGGAACCCGCAACAGAGAGGAGGGTAGGAAACACCCTCTCGAGGAGTCATGGAGCTGAGGGACACGCACGCCCTGACAACCTTTTCCACTTGGTTCAGAAGTGGTCTCTGGCAATCGAAGCTAATGTAAAGGAAAAAATTATCCAAACTGAAACAAAATCAGGTTTAGTCCTCTCTGTGAGTCGATTATGGAAAACAGAAAAATAACTCTTTGTTTCAAATCTTAATTTATTTATTGCTTACTTTATGCCAAGTTATAAACTGATTACAAAAATAGAACAGAAAAGACATCAGAACAATTTAGCTAATTTTGTTAGTAATAAAAAACAAACATCGTGTATGGGAACCCAACTGCATTGGCTATTTATCCTAGATTGGTGTTTAAGTTAATTTTTTGAATGTTCACTAAAATGTATCTTAATAGAGTTTACTGTACATCACCCCTTCACTCTCCTCCCCAGTAATCTAACAATTTTGCAATTATTTTAAATATGCATGAAAATAATGAATATTAAAATTATCGCCCCCTTTTCCCCTGCCACTCCTCTTATTCTAGCTTTCTACCTCTAATCAGGGGAGACATTATTAATCTATGAGAGATTAGTATAGCTTTGTTTTGTTTTGTTTTGTTTTTAAAGTATGGGTATTATGAGGTGCATTCGCAATGGACATATAAGGAGGTCCAAAAAAAAATTCTCATTTTAAATGTTGGTTATTCTACCTAGAATTACATGGTTGTAATTTCTCAAATTTTAGTTCAAAGGTTTAAATCTTGAAAAAAAAAAAAGACTTTATCTATGTTTTCCTTCTTCTAAACCAATCTGTAAATAATGCCAAAACATGCGTGTTCACGCATAGAGCATATCGGCGCAGATCTGATTATGATTAACAGATAGAGGTGGTTGAAGAGAAGGAAAATCTAAGTGTAAAATTTTGAATATTTAGATGATTCTAGCCATTAAAAGCGTTGCAAAAAAGACGAGGGAGGGGATCTATTTCATCGAAGCCCATCATGTCAAACCGACGCTCTCTTTCATCTGTAACTATCAGCTGTAACAATTACCCCAAATTTGAATATTATTAATGCTACCTTTTTTTCCGTCTGAAATCCAAGAAATCTTCAGTGGCATTTTGAAAGAATATGTGAGTTTTACGCGCCTTTATTTTTAGCTTCAAAAAACTGAGTATCAGATAGCGAGTTGAGGGAGTATTTATTGTTCATATTCTACTTGTGAAATTAGCGTTAAAGTGGCGACTGAGGCAAGACAGTTGTCCCCACGATGCCAGTGGCACATGAAGAGGAGGGGAAGAGGGGGAGGGAGGGGCGGACGGGCTGGAGAAGTGGCCCGCGCAGAGTGCTGTCACTGCAGGAGCTGTTGCGGTTGACGGCTGAGTGGTTTATTTAAATGTCGCCCGCTGCCTCTGTGATTCGAGGGGACACAACCTCCTTATCGTAATGGGACGGGGGCAGGTGTGTGGTTGCGACGACGGGGATAGAGACGGAGGGGAGCTGGGGGGATGGGAGTTCAAGCACTGCTCCTGTGGCAGCCCAACTAGGACAGAGCACCGCCAGCGGCGCCTTCTGTCCCGTCCCATTCCACCGGGTGCGGTGCCATCAGGGGTAACAGCGGTGAGCAGCGAGGCAGCGGTGGGGGTAAGCAGCAGCAGCACGAGGAGTGACGGGGCGTGGAGTCATTGCCCTGCGCCACAGAAGGAGCCGGGGACAGGGAGGTGGTCACGACCGCGCTGCCGCGGGAGACAGACACACCACGGCACATTTGTGCTGCGGGCAGAGGGGATGTAACATAATATACCCCTGCTCACCAACACCTACACACACTCCCCACTCTCCCTCTGTGCCATCTGCTACCTGTGCACACACCCAAATTTGGGCTAGACATTCACTTCTGTGGGTGTGTCTGCATATGTTACTACAGATTTATGGAGGAGTTAGATTCATGTGTGCTAATTAAAAGCAGTGAAAATAATAAGTTTTCTTTCACCAACTAAGAGTCCCCAACATCACTTGTAAATGGGGACCTGCACACATCTGTGTAGTCCTATCGTCATTCATAAAAATGTGTAAAAAAAGTACTTTCGTATATAAATTATTCTATATGGTAAGGTAAGAACTAACCTAATGGATTATAGTATCTGTTTCTGTGATTTTTCTAATGTTTTACGGGTAGCCATCTGGTCACTTTTTCTTGGGTGACATATATGAGCATTTCAGTGTAGGTCTTGAACAACTGGAGCTAGAGGTAGTACTGGAAATACAATAAGAAATCCAAAGAAAGAATACGTGTTGCGAAATAAGTACTAAGTAATACTAACCGAGTATGACATTGTGATCTTTATTTTTAAAAAAATTATATGCATGGCAGTCTTGGAGGGGAGGGAATTTTCACCATATATGTTTATGCAGGTAAGTAATCCATGGTGTAACTAATTATCTACGCATGTACTTAGATATTTTTTTAAAGAAAAAATGTGTGTATGACTGGGCATTGTTCCTATGGAAAACATTATGATGGAAAACATGATCAGGTGACCTGCCTGGTAGATGAAGAGAAGGCTGTGGATGCAGTCTATCTGGACTTCAGCAAAGCCTTTGACACTGTCTCCCATAATATACTCCTGGAAAAGCTGGCAACCCATGGCTTGGACAGGTGCACTCTCTGCTGGGTTAAGAACTGACCAGAGGGTTGGGCCCAGAGAGTGGTGGTGAATGGTGCTGCATCCAGTTGGCGACCAGTCATTAGTGGTGCCCCCAAGGGATCAGTGTTGGACCCAGTTCTATTTAATATCTTTATTGATGATCTGGATGAGGGGATTGAGTGTACCATTAGCAAATTTGCAGATGACACCAAGCTGGGTGGGACTGTTGATCTACTGGAAGGCAGGAGGGCTCTTCAGAGGGACCTGGACAAACTGGAGAGATAGGTTGATTCCAATGGGATGAGGTTCAACAAGACCAAGTGCTGGATCCTGCACTTTGGTCACAACAACCCCATGCAGCGCTACAGGCTGGGGACAGAGTGGATGGAGAGTAGCCAGGCGGAAAGGGATCTGGGGGTGCTGATTGACAGGAGGCTGAACATGAGTCAGCAGCGTGCCCAGGTGGCCAAGAAGGCCAATGGCATCCTGGCCTGCATCAAGAACAGTGTGGCCAGTAGAACCAGGCAAGTGATTCTTCCCCTATACTCAGCTCTGGCGAGGCCACACCTGGAGTGCTGCATCCAGTTCTGGGTCCCTCAGTTCAGGAAGGATATTGAGGTACTGGAACAGGTCCAGAGAAGAGCAACAAGGCTGGTGAAGGGACTTGAATACAGGTCCTATGAGGAGAGGCTGAGGGAGCTGGACTTGTTTAGCCTGGAGAAGAGGAGGCTCAGGGGAGACCTCATCACTCTCTACAACTACCTGAAAGGAGGTTGTAACCAGGTGAGTGTTGGTCTCTTCTCCCAGGTAACCAGCAGTAGCACAAGAGGGCATGGTCTCAAGCTCTCCCAGGGGAGGTTTAGGTTGGATATTAGGAAGAATTTTTTTACAGAGAGAGTAATCAGGCATTGGAATGGGCTGCCCAGGGAGGTGGTGAATTTGCTGTCCCTGGAGGTTTTTAAGATGAGATTGGATGTGGCACTTAGTGGTCTAGTAACCATGGCGGTGTTGGATCAAGGATTGGACTTGATGATCTCAGAGGTCTTTTCCAACCCGATTGATTCTATGATTTCTGGAATATAAAAAATAGAGTATTCATCTGGTTTAGTCATGTTTAAACTACTATTTTTTAAAATAAGAATTTCCCCATTAAGGTAAATAGAAATTAGTTAATATTGGTTTTAAATGTAATTCAAGGCCTGTGGATTTTCAGATAAAGAAAATGTAATGATAGAGGCAATATTTTAAAATAACCTTTAAAATGCATTTTCAGTATAGACTTTAAAACTACACACTAACATGAATTGAAATGCATTTCATAAAGTAGCCGTTAAGACAGAACATAAAAAATGTCTTCCTTAGGAAAAGCACTCCATACCTGGGTCTACACATTTTAAGATAATATTCTGAAATAAAACATTCCTGAAATCCACAGAGATATGTGTGTTCTGCAATGAAATATTATAAATAATTTGAATTAGTTCCCATTAAATTAATTATCTGTATTGTCTTATACCTTAAAACAGTAATGTTTTTCCTAATTTAATTAGGCTCTCAAATTTCCAGGTTCAACCTCTTGGTATTATAGCTGAACATGACAATGATATATGTCTCTCCTCTTAAGATCTGATAAAGCATGTTGTGCACCTTTATTTGCTTTATTAACTTCGTGCATATTTTGTAACCTTATACAAAGAGAAGGAGGGAGGAAACTACATATAAAGGCACATACACAGTAGTCGTGCCAAAAGGGGAAGGGGAGGGGAGAAAAGAGGGGGCAAAGAAAGGAAGCAAAGATCAGAGAAAAACCGATAGCTTCTAACTTTCAGTTAATTTAAAATGGAAATATAACTTTACATATATTAAAAATATTACACCTTGAAAACAACAGGATGAAGAGGAGGGGAGGGGAGAGAAGAATGGCGGAGAACGGTGTATTGGTGAAATCCTGAGACATCTGGAACATCTTGCTCTGAACCAGGCTCTTGTATGTGCCGCATCCCCGCAGGTCCCGGTTTCCCGTACCTAACTGATATTTGTTACTTTGGGGTTTTTGTTGTTGCTGTTGTTGTTTATGGTGTTTGGTAGAGGAGAGAAGGAGAGAACGGCTTTTTTGTTTCATTAATTGCGATCTTCATTATAAGGGATGATCGCCCCAGGAATCTTCAGTCTCTTCTCCAAGCAGTAGGATTTGCATATTTATTTGATGCCCTAATTTTCTTGACGTATGTAAATGTAACCAGACGTACAGTAAACCTCAGACTGACGTCAGTGAATATTGGACCTTGCTGTTAAACCTTGAACGTGAAGTGAGGATGGGGAACGCAGTGGGGGCGCAGAGCTGGAGCCACTCGATGAGCCTCATCGGAACGCGTCAGGCTAGTCCAGAGCGGCAGTTGCAATGGGGAGGTGGAGGACCGCCGGTAGGCACCCTCCGCAGCAGCGTTGGCTGCTTGGCTCTGCTCGCCGCTTTGCCACACTGATGAGAGACCCTGCCCAATAGAATAAATATTAACAAAAACATTAACCTGGCTCCCCCGCCCTCTCTCCCTACACGGCAGCAAAATAAAGACCACCCTCACGGTGCCCTATCACTGTCCCCAGGAACACCACTGCTCCTCTTAATCAGATGATGAGCAGGCAATATAAAACACTGATCAAGACACAAAAAAATCCCCCCCCTCCCCCCCAGTATTGCATGACATACATAGTGCAGGTAAATAATAATTTTGAATTACTGTATTGATACAATGTTAGTAGTTTGGTGTACGGGATTTGCTGATATCAGTGCTGGTTTAAGGAAGAAGAGGCAGAAAATAAAAAAAAAGTCGCGAGGCTCTGGGCAAACCATTCACCCCTCCAACCGATCTGATCTGCAAGTCAAGACTACTTTCCTGTCTTTGTACTGATTTCTTTCATTTGGCAAGAGAAGCATTATTAAAGGGCTCTCGGATATCTGACTGTAGAAAGATGGCTTTGTTGTTACCAAGGTAGAAAAGGGTAGATATGAGCAATTTTCTAAAACTTTCCCTGTACCCTTTCTCCCTTTAGGTTTATAATGATGTGAGAACTTTTAGCGCTAGGGGAATTTTTACTGGTGAGGCTGTAGAATTAAATGCAACCAGTGTTTTGAAAATGAACGGTATTCTTTGATAGAATCTAAGCTTACTTGTGTTTGTTTGTCTGTCTGTTTTGTTATGTTCTAGAGCATCTCTTCAGAACTTGACACACTCTTAAAGCAAAACAGCTGCAAACCACTGGCTACACACATGCACACAGATGCTCGTACCCATACACACTCATGTACTGCTTCTCTATTCAAACATCTTGACTAAACTTAAATGGCCAAGCCAGGGAATGGAAACATGATTGAGAGATTGATCCAGACTTTTATAAATCCTCTCAGTATTTTTTTGTAGTCATGGTTTGCCCTGAATTTTGTTATTTTAGTCTGAGATTGCATTTTTATTCTTATAGAGTTCTGTTGGTCTGCCTTGTCCTAGGGGCTGTGTTGGCAGAAGAATCCATTGGTGCTGTGCATGGCTGGGCTGCGACAGGGGTTGTGAAGGGCCGTGGTCAGGATAGGGTGGTTGGACTGCTGTCCCTGGCAGTAGTTGGCAGGAAATCCGTGCCTCTGTGGACTGACTACCCTCTCTCTGGAGCCGCACTCTGGATGGGATTCCCACAGAACATATATATATATATATATATATATATATATGAAACATACACAGCACATGGCAAACACCATGTGCAGATGTCATGCAAAGTCACCCCAGACAGGTATAGGCTGTCTGGAAGACTCCCAAACCC